TGGCTTGAGATTAAGACAGTTCATTAGAACAGTAACGGAAGAGAAAAATAATAATAATGGCAAAAGAATATACAAAATAAAGTGACAACACAAATTGCTCTCGCCAGCCGATGATCAGTTACCCATGCCAAGCAGCGATCGCAGATCCCTGCCCCCTCACCAAGCCCCATTTGTATACTGAGCATGATGTCTGTGATACGGAATATTCATTTGGCCAGCTTGTCCTGTCCTGCTCCCTGTCAGCTTCTATGGGAAGCCAAAAAAGTCCTTGGCTTATTATAAACATTACTTAGCAACAACTAAAATAATACATGTTATCAACATTTTTCTTATACAAAATCCAAAACAGCAGCTACTAGGAAGAAAATGAACTCTATCCCAACTGAAACCAGGACACAGTTTTAAGCAGATGAGGGGATAGATCAGCTTTCTTTCGAGACTGTGAACTAATTTTATACTGAGAACTGGTGTCTTTAAGCTTGTTCCCAACTTGCCCTGCCACCTAAGCCCATGCTGGTCTTGTGCTTGAGCAAAGTTGTAAGCTGCCTGACTCCCTGTTTGCAAAGAGACTTCATTTCACTAAATAGTGCAAAACAGCTCTCCAGTTGTCCCATCTTCATGAAATAATGCAGTTTTTTATTAGACTCAGTGGTCCTGCTCTCTGAGGAACTGGAAGAGGCCTGAAGTAGGTGTTAACCCACTAATTCAAAAGCTTTCCATGAATCAGAGAATAACAGAGAATGCTGCTAAGGTTTATAACCCAGATCCTCACCCAATTTTTTTCAGGTGGTAGAAGAGTAAAGAACATATTGAAGACCTTTCTACTGCAATGCAGGCACTTCTGCACTCCCAGAAATTGCCTGTGTCTCACTGATATGTTCCTGAGGACCTGACAAATAACAACCTGTTGTCCCTTCAGCTTTGGCACGCCCATCCTGGTGCAGGTATGCCAGCCAATGCCTCTTTCCCAACAAAGGTGATACCATTTCAAATAACAGGACTAAATGGCACCACCAAATACGTTTTTGGTATCTGTATTAAGCTGTGTATCCAGAGTTTTGACGGTACTGAAATGTTGCAAAATGATACTGGTAAAAGTTCTTAGCATAGGCATGAGTTTTGGGCTGTCTCCATCCTTCCAGTGCCTGATGCTTATTGATTTCAGGAGGATAGGTGGCATAAGTAAACGCAGTATGAATAAGCAGATGAGAGCTCTGAATGGATTTCAGGAACAGGGACATAGTCATGGCAGTGATAGCTGTAAAGGACCTCTGGGTCCCTTCCCAACAACCTCACCGAAGCTGTAACCTTGTCTATCTGAGTCTTGGAAATCTCCAAGGATGAAGATCTCAGAGTCTACAGGCCTTCAACGAGGCCTTCCTCCTTCTGAGGAACACTAAGAGTGAAACAAGTTCAGTTTTTCACAAGGGGACTCAATTATTTAAAAAGGAACATCAGGTAATGGCATTTATAATTCTTTGTCTAAAGGCTTTCCTTGGTGTTGAATCCAGTCCACATGCAACCAAATTCTTTTCACTGCTGTTTGTTGATACCTGCCTTAATTACCAGCTGTTTTATTTAAGACATAGTTATTACTGACTGTATATAAAAACTGTCCCTCTTTTGCTTAGACTAGTTTGGGGAGATAGGGAACAAACTTTCTCATCTTGGAATAAGCTGGGGCTACCCATGCCATGGTCTTGTGCCAGAGGTCGCCACTTCAGTCCAATGTGGCTGGAGTACTTGGGGATTTTTAGCAGTAGGTCTCTGCTTACCTAGCTGATTTGCAGAGATTTAAGAGATGAAACACTCTCAGAGGCAGACCCAAGCAGCCGAGCATCTCCAGCAAGCAGGGCAGTCATGAGTGGCTGACAATTAAGTATACAGGTGGAGCCATATAAGGACCTTACCTTCCTCTTGCCCTGACTAGGTTAGTCATGATCAGTGGCCAGTCTTCACAGCAAGTACATCTCAGAAGCACCTGGCTAGCACTCACTGGAGCAGCAGCAAGACCGAGGAGCATCAGAAGAGTTTCAACCCCAAAGGTTTTGCTCAGCAGCTTGGTTTATTTTGTTTCTTCCAAGATGCAGCCAGACTACATGCCAGCCCTGCTGGAAGCAGTGGTAAGTACTCAGTCACTCCTTCCCATAAAATCACTTTCTTCTTGGGTGAACCTGAGGCTCTGAACTCTGCCCTGTGTTCTTCAGGCCAAACATAGACTCTCGTGTAACACTTCTTTACTCCAAGAGAAGGACACAGACACACACTTTTGGTGTGAAACCTGCCCTTAGTCAATGTGTCAGTCACAAAATCTTTATGTGTTGGGTCACAGCCTTGCTAGTACCTAACCGCTGGGCAGCAGAAGAATATGAAGTACATATAAACTCACCAAAGGAACTTTTTTCTTTCAGGGAGTCGTATACATTTACTTAGAAAAGTGACCAAAGTTCAAATAAATTCTAGCTTCCGAGCACAGAGGATTATTCCACTAAGCATAAGGCAGAAACAAAACTTCTCTGGAGGGATGTAACTTCTAATTATCTATTGCTTCCTGTAGCCTATATGCCAGGATCATTACTATCTTCCATGTTTATTAATCAGTTACCTGATTTTAACAAGAAGATAACTTCTAGGAGACATGCAAATAATTCTGTGATTTTCTTTTCCGGTGACTCAGCATTCATATCAGAAATGTGTTAACAGGATACAAAGGCTATTAAGAAGACCCCTGCGTAATTATCATCTTCCTTGGCTCCAATTCTTAATAATTTATGCAAGAAAACGGGTATTTTCTAACAGATATGCTATCTTGCCAGAAGAAAATTTGCATAAGTTATCTTTTCTTCTTTTTAAAATCTCTTTTTTTCATTTTCCCATCTCTAAAGACCTGTATCTGAAATTTTATTCAAATAAGGCAAAGTTAAATACTCTCAGTGGAGAGACTAAACAAGTGAAAGGAAATGCTTGCAGCACTGAGGAGGCTGGACTGGCACCAATTTAAAATAGGAGCATTGCGTTGCATCTGCACCTGCAGATTACTTTTCCATATTTTCTCAGCAACATCAAGGGAGAGCATCCAGGACAGAACACATGACTTGGAATAAGTTCGTGTTACTGTCACAGAGAGGCAACTGCAGCGATGTTAACCCAAAATGGCCCCATTCACCCCATTTATCTGGGATCAAGTGCAACAAATTGATGAGCATGTAATTAACTCATTAGAAAATGCATTAGTATGGAGAATTTTTTTTTAGGGGGCAGCTATTCTTCTAGGTGACATGATGACAGTACACATCCATCTTGTGCTTGCTGTGCTGGAGTTGTCCGGGAGAAATCTTGTCTGGGCTGGCAACCGCTGGGGCATCGAGCTTTTACTTGGTTTGTTGTGTTTGCGTTTTTTCCTGTGCAAACAGAGCTCTGTGCAAGAGTTTTCACATAACAGTTTAGTGACATGAACTTAAGAAATGAACAACTTAAGAGATAACTCCTACCCTTGGTTTTGCTTTCTCCACCTTCAGCTGGCACCTTCTACTTTGAAAAATCACACCTTCAGGAAGCAAGGAAACCCATCCTGGTCTAACTTGCCAGTATTTAACCCCCTGACGAACCTCCTTCTCTGAAGAAAATCTCTCTGGGACCTAAAGATGCCCCCAAAATGGCAAATCCAGCAACCACCCCACCAATAACAAGGTAGCAGAAAGATGCACTCTTCTCAAATGGCTCAGCAGGCAAAGCTGGGGCAAAAACTTGGGAAAAGCTAGGGAAGGAGATCCAGCAGAGAGAAATACCCCTCTACATGCTCTATCAGCCGTGAAACATTCTGAATAGGCACCTTGCTTGCAATATCCAAGCCAGAGGCTTTTGTATGAAGCATGCCTTGTGACGGGTATTCATTTCAAAGCTGTGCTCTGAATGGAAACCAATTTGCAGAAGTTACCTGGAGGAATAAGAACATATTCAGCAGATAATGAAATAACTTCACTATGACAGATACCATGCGGGAATGGCACACTACCAGAAACACACAGAAGAAAAGCCATGCTTGGAAGGACCCAGAGGCTGAAACAAAGGCAAGAAGGATGAGTGTGATGCCTGCATATGAATCTATCAAAACACTTGACAGGTGTACGCCCCAGCTCATATACACGAGCACAGGCCATTTCGCAAGAAGCCCATACCTTAGATTTTAGGAAACTGCATAAAAACAATTCCAGAGCCAGACTCTGTGTAAAGCTAACCCCCGGGCTTTGCAAAGCTAACCACGCTTATCAGCGACTGACAGATGAGATACTCTGGAGAGCCACACTGTCGAGACACCTGGTGATGCTGGCAGGACAGTGTGCCAAGTCGCTCCAGCCCCCGTTGTCCTGGATTCCCACAACTTTGGATGCAGGCAGCGTGGCTTTATTGCTGGAGTTGTATAACTTTCTCTTCCTCTTGGCAAGAATGCATTCATATCTCAGCACAAACCGCCTCATATCACTTTATGACGAGACGGGGGGGCTACGACCTTAACAGCCACAATGGCACTGCACACATATTTCCAACTTCCCCACGTTGCCCAAGTCACTCTGCAATCAAAGCAGAGGAGTTGAAGTCAAACGCTAATGAGGTGAAGTCAAGCAGGGAATCCCAGGGAATGCTGAGATTACAGCCGGGCACAGCCCTGAAATTAAAGCTTTCCATCCCGCGAGTGTGGTCCTGGTGAGGTTTCTGCACTGCTCGGCGCGTCACGGAAGCACAGCTTGGTTAGTTGCTGACGACTGGATATTTTGGCAGTTCCCCGTGGAAATGGCAGGGATAAGCGTCCCCACGGGGACATACTGGTAGGGCAGGCACGGGCTTCCTTATCAAGGACCGCATTCGGGCACCTTAACCCCACATCCCCCCACCATCCCCGGGGAGGATCCCCTGTTCCTTCTCCACCCCCGGGGGTGCCTCTGGCGGTGCCCACCCCCTCCCCAAGCCCACAGGGGAGAGGACAGCACCCCCCTCCCGACCCCTCCCGGCGCCTCCAGCCCCACGGGTGACACCGCTCCCCGCGGTGCATCCTTACTCCCGGTCTCTCCGGTATGTCCCGCGGCTTTCCCGCTCCCGTGGGTGCCCCACGGGTCCTCAACACGGCTCCCCTCATGGCATCCAAGCATCGCCCCGGCCTCCGCGCCCGCCCGCTCCCGCCCGTGCCGCCCCCCCGCGCTCCGCCGCGGCCGTTTCGCCCCGGTGCTCCCCTCCCTCGCCCGCCCTCCTGCCTTCGCCGGCTGCCGTTGCTCCATTCGCGGACATGGCGGTGCCGGTGCCGGTGCTGGTGTTGCTGCCCGCCCTCCTCGCCGGTACCGGGCGCACGGCGCCGGGGAAGTGACGGGAGGAAGATGGGGGGGGCGGGCCGGTACCGTGCCCCGGCCGGTCTCGTCCCGGGGAAGGGGAAATCTGAACCGGGTACCGGGCACCGGCTGGTCGGGATCGGGCCCGGTAACGGACACCGACTGGTCGGGGGAGGTGAAGGAGGGGGAGAGGGGGATTCGGGCCGTTGCTGGGACGGGGTGAATGCGGTCGGGACCAGACGCCGTTAAAGCCGTGTTATTCTCCACAGGGCTCCTCTCCTGTCCCGGAGCTTCTGCCAGCATCCCGGTGAGTACGGCCTGACCTGTTGTTCCCCGGGAAGGATGGTACCACCTTCCCTCCATGTCACCAACAGGACCCTTCCCCAGAGCCCTGGGCTTGGGTCCAGAGCCTCGAGCCAGTACACCCCTCTCTCCGGTACCCCTGCTCAGCCCCAGGAGATGCCCCAGGAGATGTCACAGGAGATGACGCCCCAGGAGATGCCCCAGGTGGTCTCTCCCCACAGCTGAGGGCAGTAGAAGCCAAGCCTCAAGCAACAAATACCCATAGCAGCATGAAAGATAACATGGCACTTTATAACACTGTGCCAGCTCCTCTTGAGCACTCCGTTCTTTGCATGAGCACACCAGTGTCCTTCGGAGACCTGTTTCACATGGGGTATCATATTTTGTGTTCCTGTTCTTCCCCAGCCTGCTTGCTACCAGTACGGTGTGCCTGGATGTCCAAGGGACTACAATCCAGTCTGTGGGACCGATGGACAGACCTATTCAAACGAGTGTGTGCTCTGCCTTTCCAACAGGTACTCACTTAATCGGCCTCCTAACTTTCCCTTCCCGATATGCAAGCAAAATATTCACCCTCACACCCCAATTAACCGATAGTTTAGTGGCTTTGGATTGTTCACACTGAAAAACTGCAGGGTTAGCGGCGTCTCCTCAACTGTCAATCCTTTGCAACAGTTTTGATCATGATACCTGTAAACGGCTTAGATGGGATTCTGTTCTATGGAACTACTGAATATTCGCTTTTGTAATTCTTAAGGAGGAGCATCTCAGAGGGTGACATTGCCTGTCACATTCATACAATGCCATATTACCATTAAATATAATGCTGGTCTCTTCCACACTCTCTAACAGAAACCAGGAAAGATCCCACGCAAAATGCAGCTTTCACTATCAAATGTTTATGTTCAAGATCCAATCTCCCATACTTCCTTTCACAGAGAAGAGTAAGAATGCAAAATGTTAGGAGAAAATACTATTTTACCATTCAGATTTTCTAAAACTCAAGAAAAAGATCGCCTGATACTTGAGAGAGGGTATTTTATTCTTTAATAATTTAATATTTTTTTAAAACAAATTGAAAACATAGAAAATCAGTACTTAATGACCATTGTTACCTCCTTCTATGATTCACTGGAAAACCTGTAGAGCGTCCTCTCAGTACAAACTGCTTAGGTATTGAATTTGATGGTGAAAGGCAATTCATACTCATGAAATAACAGAATTTCTGTTTCCAGCAGAGGGAAGAAGTGAGAGTAGTAGAACAGCAGTGATGGGCATTTACAAAATTACAAATAGATAGATCTCAAGAAAGGGAAGGTTGAAATATGTTTCTGAGTTTGGGGCAGGGGAAAGATTAATTGTGACCAGATAATTTACAAAATTCAAATGACCGAGATAGAGGGAACATAGGCTACAATAAGGGAAGTGTCAGAGGTATCAAAGGACACTGAAGGAAACAGTATTTCAAAGGAGGTGCCAAAGTGTGTCAAAGTATGTTTAAAGGTATGCAGATCTGCAGAATTTGGTAGCATTTTCACCCGAGTACACCACAAGCTACCCAAGCAAATGAGAATTTGCAAAGCAAATTGGTAAACCTACAGTTTGCGAGGGAAAAAAAAAAAAAAACAGGGACTCAAAGGGTACAGCCCGTGAAAAGGGGAGAAGAGAGGTGCTGGCATGTTACATATTAGGAGCCTACCCATCTTTGCTGCTTAGAACAGTGCTGGAGTAAGTTATTAAGTGATTGACTTGTAGACAGCCAGAGGTAAAAAAGAGAGCAAGCAAAGCTGATACAGATTTGTCAGAAATAATTCAATCAATCCATGAGATTTAGGTTTTTGGCAAGATAACTGGAGGAAACAGAAGTGTTGCTTCATGACATTAATAAAGCATTTTACATAGCTCCATGTGATATTCACATAAGCAAACAGTTATTCAGCTGAAATTGTTAAAGGATGAAGTCACAGCGGTTTGAAATGCTGTGGTTTAAAAGCAGTAATCAGCATTTTACAGTCAAACTGGAAAGAGGTATTAAGTGGGATTTCCTTTAGGTGTAATATATCATTTTTGTAATGGATTGGATATCGGGAATAAGACAACAAAAATTTGCAAAATGGCATGAGATGCAATGACCTCTGCAGGAGAGTATCAAAATTCCCAGGGATCTGGAGAAATGGACTGAAATCAGTACAATAAAAGTCAAAGAGAAGTGCTAAGTATCACACAGAGAGAGTGCAAACCCATGTTGTGGAGTTACAGAGGAGAGTGTCTCATGCCCTGAGCAGTATATTTGATCCTTTCTCAGAGGAGAATGACGGGCTTTGAGATCCAACCTTACATTTATAGGATGTTTCATTTTCTAGGCATGATCCCTCAGTTCCAGATGAGTGCACGGTAGATTCCTCAATACAGCATTGCACATAGCACAAAGGGTTCTCTAAGCAAACCTGCTGTTTTTTTCCACTCAGTTCCTTAAGTAACACATGATGGGGCTTACACCTTGTTAGTATGAGACGTAATGTGCATGTTTTTTACATTATGTGTGATTTAATCAGTTACACACACAGGATAAAAAACTATTTTAACCATGTTTTTTTGCTGGCATCTTACATGCTCAGAAACATGCATTTTGGACTGAAGGGTGATCAGATACTATCCTGTTTTCCTTTTCGTTAATAATTCAGTAGTCGGCATACTCAGTGGCTTTCTAGTTCAGTCTGGAGTCGTTGTTCTAAAGTGTTTGACTTGGCATGAACACAACAAGGACAAAACACTCTGCCTTATTGGAAGAATTTTGGCTTTGAAAAATGGTTCATAGTCATGAGCGATGGTCATTTCACTTTGAGGAGTCTAAAGTACAGTTCATCACGCTCCTTAGAAAGGGAGAACAAAGTTCTTTCTGCGCTTCTTAACAAGCTGCAGGACCAGTAGTTGCTGAGATAAATAGTGTAATGTGGTGATGGAGAAACAGATATATGGGCATATCCCATAGTGAATTATAAACCACTCAGTTCTAAATTAACTTAGGCAATTCTCAACAGCCAACTTGCAGGTTACTTCCGGCCCACGTTTAAGCCCATTAAAGGACTTTTTAAAGGGAGTTGCACTTCCCTGATGGCCGAGGCGGTACTGTCCCTGGGCTCTTGTAGCCATGCAAGACTGTATGGGCACCTGGAGAAACCCATGTGCACCAGGAGTACTGCAGGTGAGCTTGCTGTGGCTGGTCCACGATAACATGAGACACCTGGAGCAAAGGTGCAGCACAAGCCCTGCCTATCCTGGTGCCTATCCTGGTGCCTATCCTGGTTCTGCAGCACAGCCCGTTTAACTACAAGACCAAAGCTGGTCTTCCTCCCTGCTTTTTTTCTTTTTTTTTTTAAAGCTTCGATGTAATCCATTCTTAAGTGGGTGTTCAAATGCAAATCCCAGGTCTCTTCCACACTTAGCATCCAGTAGCAGTGGCAACAGCTGATCTTAATTTAAACCTAGTCTGGCAGCACCACAAGCTCTTTGCAAACAGACGCAGCAGCTGGAGCTGCCTCTGCAGGGTTTAGCATATGGGCTGTCCTTCAGCCAGAGCTTTTCATTACAACTTTACATGTGTTTTACGTCCCCTAGGCTTGATTTTTCCTTTCATATTTCTAATCTGCTCCACTACCTCCTGGCTAAAAGATCTCTGATACAACTATTAGTACAGATTATCCCTGCTTTTGGGTAATTGTAAGCCTCTTGAATTTCACGAGGAGTAAAACAGCTTGATTCTGTTAAGATAGGGAAGCAAACTGAAGATCTAGGGCAAGTTTGCACTCCAGCACTTTCTTTTTGTATCTGCACTTGCTTGGTAAACTGAGAATTGTAAAAGGAGCATCCCAAAGTACTATGTATGGGACTTTAAAAAAAAAAAACCCTGAGTGTTCTCAAACTAAGGGAGACTTGGCTAAAATTTCCTTAATGCAGGAAACATTCACATTTTAGTGAAGCCTGAGATGCAGAGATGCATCAGGATGCACATCCTACCCACTTACCTCCCACATGAAAGGGGGAAATTTTGTAAGCATTAGAAATGTTTCCCACTTCAGGGAGTGTGAAGTTTGACTTGCATTACTGCTTTGCAATGGGCACTTTAGTCCTCATTGCAAGATTTGTCATGTGCTTTGATACTTCTCAGATTTGCAGATGGCTTTATCAGGTTTTTATAGGTAACAAAGCCTGACGTGAGGCTGTTTCTAGTAAGTTACTCGCTCTGTTTGTGTGATTCATAAATCTTTGCATCATAGTTAATTTGCAGTAATGTTTGCTGTAAGTGATGCAATTAAAGGCGTCGCTGCATTTAATTGAACACGTAGAAGGACACAGGAGAGTCCACTTTATAAAATGTCCCTGTTAAATTCAAGTGTAGTGCTTCTCTTCTAAAATATTTTTCTTCTGCTTGCAGTGAAAATAAAAAGGATGTCCAAATTTTCAAGATGGGAAGATGCTGATATGGCAGATGGCCACTTTTCAAGAAAATGAGAGGGACACAGACAGTCCAAATGGAAATGCCTTAAATGTACCTTCTACATAGCCTGTCTTAATAAATAAGTTTTCCTGTTTAAACAAAGTACTGTTGCTGCATTAAAACCAGTGTTTATAAACATAGCTGTAGTACAATTATAACCTGAACCCTGATTTATTTTCTCACGCAAGACAGATCACAAGGTAAGAAAGAGATGTCCTGACTGTATACCAGTAGGTCCGTTGTTTGGAGAAGGAAATGAGCAGGTACACAGTGCCATTGCCACAGCAGCACCTGGGTGCAAGGAGGCCCCAGCACCTCTGCCGTGGGCAGTGCTGGTGGCAGCGGCTGCTGGTGGTTTCTGGGAGGATCTGAGACTGCAGGTGCCAGTGACCCCTGGGGAGCCACCGGAGGGGTTTCCCGTGGTGGCTACCAAACTGGTGATGGTGGCCTGACATGTACCAAGCCTCTGCCCTGGGCTCCCTACCTGCAGGTTGTGCTGGTGGTGGGCAGCAGCCTGAGGACCTTCTGCTCCTGCTGCAAGTAAGGGCTCTTTTGGAGCGCTGGAGGCGTGGGCAGGAGCCACAGGCCGCCCCCCAGGCCCCCAGCCCTCTGGGCTCTGCTCCTCGGGGCACCAGTGTCACTGCCCTGGACTGGCACCCAAGAGCCACTTCCCATGGCAAACATAAAAGCAAAATCAGAAAACTCAAGACTGGTGTAAAAGGGTGCACTCTGGAGTGGATTTGGCAGACCTTCCTGCAGGGAGGGTGTGGGAGCACTGGGGTTCGGTCCTTTCCTTCACCCACTTGTCGTGCACATGGGCACATAGCCCTTGTTACGTTTGTTCCTTTCTGTTCTGCTAAGCACCTCTGTTTTCTGCATGTTGCTTGAAATGAATTGTATTTGGGTCATCTTATGGTGCGTAGGTAATACACGGATGGCTTCTACCTTTTGATCCTAGCCAGGTGGCACCTGCTCTAGCCCGGGCCCTACACAATGGCTGCCTCAGACTTTGCTGGGCAGCAGCAGCACAGGCAGAGGTGTATGGCACACTTCATGCCTGATGAACATTCACAGGTCAGTGACTTTGGTTTTGAAAAACAATAATGCTTTTGTCTTATAGTTCCTTTAAAAGGTCAAAGCTATCCTTCTCTTCCAGCACATGCCTGCTTTTGTTTCCTTCGTGCAAAGACTAATCATTGACAGAGGGATGTCATGTGCGGCACAACTGGAGGGCTAGAAGCTTAAGATAAAGTGGTCACGTGGAGATATGAATATGTGGATGGAAAAGAAAGATGACCAGTGCCTCCCAACAAGGTATCAGTTGTGGATGGAAAATCATTTTCTCTATTGGTGGCAAATCCTCTTGAGAAAGTTCCTGTGTGCTCCCAGCTGCTCTTTCCACATCCAGATCTGGAAATTTTCACTTTTTCAAAGTGTACCAAATGACAAAGCAGTTGTGTGCTATGCTATGAATTAACAAGTGGATGGAAATGATAAGCTGGTTCTTTTTGTATTTCTATTTTGATAACTAATTGTGCTTACAAGGGAACTTAGCTACTCCAGTCTTGTTAGTTGTAGAAATGTTCCTTCAGTATTTGACAAAAGTGTGAATAGCATTGCACTTCATTTTGCAAAACTCAGAAAAAACATCTATTTTTGTAAACACCCCTAAATGAAACAAATCCAAATAAAAAATAGCATGTACACTGACAATTATAATCACACTAGAGCACTGCTCCCAGCATATGAATGCTTAAGATATAACCTTAGACCTGATTTTACATCTTCCTATTTTTCTGCACGTTTGAAAAGTGGTGAATCCAGCACTGCATGTAATTACTCACCAAATCTGCCCCTGACATCCATACTTTGTTTTCTGTACATTAAAAAGTTCTGGCAATTCCCACAGGTAAATTTTGACAGCAAGATTTGTGAAGAAGTGCAGATGTATGTCACAGATCAAACTTCTTTCTAGTCTTACCCAGGCCAAGATACCTCTGATTCTGAGATGTACAGAAAAGGTGGGTGGAATGGTTCCTGTGCTTGGGAATGTCTAGAACACATCCGAGTCTTCAGAGGTGAACACCATTTCGGAGTAACTTCTGGACTGCTGTCTATGAAGACTAATGGAGAAGGGTTACTATGTAGGAGCAGAAGTCTGAAATAATCCTGATGGACATTTGGTACCTTTTTAAGTAATGTTTCAACATTTCTTACAGTGTATTTTATTATCAAGTGATATTCTTACTTTATGTAGTGCCACCTTCTCGATGTGCTTTGCAATGATGAAAACTAAAATGTAGAAAAAGAAATGACTCTCAGTGCTCTCAACTGGATCCTTCTAGAGCTGAATGTAAAACATCACTTGTATGCTTTCCCAAATTCAAAGAAAAACAAACAAACAAAACCAGTGTCATACTCCAGTTTGGTGTTTATGAACCTTTATAGATCAAAAAGTTGATATGTCAGAATTTTAGTATGGTGGACTTAATTTTTGTTTAAAACAGAATTTTGTGGTGCCTGTGTGACAATGCTAGAAAGGCTTAAATATGTAATATCCTAATCCTCACTGGAAAAAAATCCTTTCCTAAACTCAGAAAAAAACCCAATAATGTACTCCAGTTGAAGCTTTATAGCTCAAAAAAGGTGGTGAATTTCGGTATGATGGGCTTAATTTTTGTTTTGAATTAATATTGTACCTTACATTTAGGACAATGCTGTTCTTATTCTCATGAAGAGTAGGACTAACACTTCTAGAGTAGGACTCGAAGGCTTCCTATGAAGCCTTAGGACAAGGTCTACTTGTATGAAGAGTCCTCACTCATGATTTAATCCAACTGCCTTCAGTGGTGCTGTTAGAGGTCCATTTTACATACAGGTGAGGTAGGAAGTCGTCTAGATGACAGAGTGCTAGAGCAGCACAATTAAGTGGCAAAGGGAGAAAGACAGTTTGTGAGTCTTGCATGAGTGGCTTACAGTGGGTTGACATTGATGACTTCCACATGCCCTCGTTGCCCAACGTTTGGGCAACTATCTAGTTGTTCCCAAAATTGTCACCCAGATGCCTCTTTGGCTGCAGGAAAGGTTTCACTGCTGGCAACTCTAGCCTCTGCTGCTCAGGGAAGTCACCCAGCAAGGAGGTTTTTGAAGCCAGACTATGCTCCCATTCTTTCTCTTTCTGCAGTCATTGGATTCTGGAAGTGTGTTACTTGAAGGGGAAGGTGACCGAGCAGGCTCAGAGCGTGATGAAGTACCCCAGCACTGAGGCCATTGCCACATCGCACTCTCTCAAGCAACCCTCTCTATCTTGGTGCCCAGAGCTCCTTGGAGCAGGTGGCATTAACTTTTCCACTAAACCAAGGCAGAAGTATTTCTTTTCTCTTGAGATTATTTTTCTTTTAAACTTTTTACATTGCTCTTCTTATTGTAGTAAATAAACAGAATCATTGAAAGCAGGAGTTGCCCAGAACCTCCTCATTTTTGTAAACTTTTAATTTGACTTTTATTTTCATGTATCTTACTGTTATTCACCCTCCAGGCAAACCGGTTTTTGGATGTTCTGAAAGTTCTGAAAGTTTGTTGCAACTGCTGTAGCTCTGTTACCAAGCTTTCCTTTTGCTCTCTCTTCTTGCATTTTAAATTGTGCTTTATGCTTCTTGCTGTTCTTCAAATTGTTTAAACATACATTTCCAGATGGAGCAAAGAGGTGCATTTCTCTTTAACAGAGAGACTGGTGTACAGCATTGAGTCATGCCATGCCTGGCTCTGGCAGGAACTGATAAAATCCCAGCTTCCTTGAAATTAAAAATTGACTAGTACAGGACTACTCGCCAGTGTTTGGTGACCACCATGTTTGATTCATCAAAAGCATTAAAATCTATATGTCACTTTGATTGCTCCAAGTGTTGACTGGCATCTACTGATGGCATTTATGAACTAGCTAAAATCGGTAACATAGAAGGATGTTACTATAAACTTTAGACATCAACAAACCTTATGCCAAGCATTCTCGTTCGTTAGCTTATTACATCTGCATGAGGCTAACAAGGGATTATACTAGCTGAATGGCATGATTGTAAAATAAGATATGAAAGAATCTCTATTCTGTCTGACTTCTGATGGTTGGATAATATTTAGTTTGATTAGGATTTTATGATATTTTCTAGCTTCCCAGGATCAGCACAGTCTTGATTTGTCTGCGAGGCGAATGTGCAGCCATCCATCTACATCAAATGAAGGTCAGAAGATGTCTTACTGGCTATTGCTAATGAAGGGTAGATATGAACGGGTTGAGCTAAAAGAAGCTGAAGAGCTTTTTCAGTTGATTACTTTTCTGACTCTTCCTCCTGTGTAAATATTAAAAAATAATTTGTCCAGGAAAAGTTCTTTAACAAAATGTGCTCTGTACTCCATGCACTGTTGCCCAGCAGACATGGCGGGTGTGTTCTCTGGGACAGCTGGGCTCCAGCTCCCAACTTAGCTGCAGGTAGTTTGGAAGTGCTCAGCCTCTTTGCTTCAGGCACTCTTTTGAGGGTTTGCAGGTTTCTCTCAACCAGAGGCGGTAACACACTTTGAACATGGAGGAAAGCATCTCTCCTTGAATTGCTGTCAGAGTCTTTCAGGAATGGAGATCCTGAAGTTCTCTTGAGTGTGATAGAAACGTCTCAAAGCCACCAGGCTTCCACTTAAAAGTTTAAGGCTCAAAAGCACTGAAATGTTTAAGGCTCAAAAAATGTTGCTAGCTGTTGAAAACCCTTGCCTATCGGTGAACATTTTTCCAAAGGTTCAGGCCATTAACAGTCACCCAGGAGAGATTTCTCTCTTCCTCTTGGGTACCAGTGCAGTGTTAGCCTGTACTCGTATGTAGCCACTCCGTTTGTCCTGGGTGGCGCAGAAACTTGAGCAAGAGCAGAAGGGAGAGGTCTAACTGGGGGAGCCATGGTCTGAGTCCTGTGGGAGACAAGAATGAAGGGCTTGAATTTG